TTGTTCGCACAATTAGGTATAGTGTTTTAAAAAGATCTGTTTGTCTGTCTTACTTTTTCGCCATGGTCATGCTGTCATCTGTTTTTCTTCGACCATGGTTTGAGACTGCCTCCATATTATTTTATCACTTCTTTTAATCAGAGAAAAGAAAACCATAAATTTCAGAGCTGAGCGAAAAAAGACAACAGAACTTAAAACTCAGATATTGATGCAAAAAATAAGTTAGTAAAACAACATAATTTACTGAACTCCAAGTGAAATTTCAAAACAGAAAGTCTCTTATCACATATCAAAACCAAAAGCCGAAACACATCAAACGATTGGAAAACAGTTGTGATAGACTTCGTAGTTCTCTCTCCATCTCTATCTATCTTTATATGATATAGCGGAAATGTAGGAATCATCTTGTCCTTACATCTTTTTTTCTTTTGTTCTTTCCATTCGCATATCCATATGTTAGTCTCAACATTGTAATGAGCAATATTCCTTCGAAATTGCTTGGCAGAATTATGGAAGCTCAAAGTGCACATATGGAGGTTATACGTGAAGGGATTTGTTTGATAATAAACGTATTCAAATAGCGCTAAAAACAGTAATCGCTTTAAATTTACCAGAACATACCTGATTTCAAGCTATCTCATTAAGTTAACCCTAATCTTATTTAAATTTAGTTCTCTGATTTCGTCATTCTCATGCGATATATGAGCAGGCGAGTCGTGATTGATCTTAATTTTAGTCAGATTGTTTTAACCCATGTTTTTAACACTTAAACATAACATTTTGTACGGTTTTTTTCATGTCAACTTATATCACTTATTATTGTTGTGAGATCTTCGCACCATTAGAAACTTGAACCGAAAAATATGAAAATAAATTGAGAAAAATTGCAAAAGTCGCTGTCAGATCAATAACAGAGGGCTCAGTGCACAATAAATACCCACGAACATAATTTAAAATCAGATGACATACAACCAATTAAAAAAACTGGATAAATTCAACCACAATTTTTTCATTTCTCACAATTGTATAGATATTTTAGAATAAAATAACTTCATTTTAACCATATGTATTCTTAATATACATGTACTATCTTTAATATGCCAATGATCAACCAATGCTTAATAGATGATCTACTAAAATAGTAGATCGTGCTCTTTTTTTTAAATGCCTAAAATGAAAATATGATGTGGCAAATCTACATTGAAATTTTAATGCAAAATCATGGCCAATTAAATTTGAAATAAAACTGGTTCAAATGCATTTATATATTTGTTTCTATTAAGAAACTTTACTTGTAACATTTAGCTGAAGTAAACATCAATATAAACACTGCTGTGTTTGGTTAGAGGTTGCCTACTTTTACAAAAGGTGATCAATGCTGATTGGTATATTTGTGTTGTGACACCTACACAGTAACTTCGTCCTTGATACTAATAGCTATAACTAATGTATTGTTGATGGGGATTGCCAGTTTTCCTTCCGAAGGTCGGTGGTTCCTTGGGCATTTCATTGGCCTAAACCATTTAAAACTGATCGCCGCAAAATACTTTAGAAGCCAAAAGTGCTAAACCGAAAATTGCGTCAAACACCAACAATCAATCAATCATCTTTATATTAAAATGTATTTATATGTAAACTATACAGGGAGTAAATTTGATAAATGGAAATGTATGTATTGTTATTGCGAATTGCTAGATTTCCCAATTCAAAAATTAATGTAAGTAAATATAATTGCGAGGGTCTCAATTTATTTACAAGAAATTACGTAGTTGGATAGGATTAAATATATTGGCCAGGCATGAAGAACATTTCAGTGGCTAGCTTATAATAGTTTTCACTTCCTCATTCAAGGCAAGATGCAGTATAACCAACCAAGAAAACATACAAATATTGAAATATTGAATTATCAAAGTTTCGCTCCCAAACTTTTCCCTAAATGCACGAATTTTCTGTGTATTCTATCCTTTAACATTTTTGCACTTTTAAAATTTGTGTTTTTCAACATATTAATATCGACTACACACAAATTGTTTTAACAAAGAACAGCTAAAAAAGCTATTTTCTTGCAGATGGCGGTATTTTGGGCAACTGCATGGTTGTTTTGATTGGCTGTTTAATTAACAAGAAGCGTAATTGCAGTAATTTAATGATGTCAAAAACATCCTTAGCACTAAATAAAATGTGTTATTTGGTTTTAAATCCGACATTAATATTTCAAAGTGCTTTTGATAAGTTACTATTAACATCTGTTCTAACAGATTTCCATATGTCCATACAAAATATCATTATTCAGAAGACAGAATATGCAAAAAAATGCTGACTTCTTGTAAAATTAGAAGTTGTCCGTCTTGACCTTTCGTTGTGATTTGACAGAAACTGCACCATACGAATTTTTGACGACCGGGCAAAAAAGGTAGTGCAGATGATGTGCTTTCGAATGGTATATGATTTAGCCGTATGTTAGGTGGGTGCATTAAAAATAAAATTTTATGGTTAATGTCACTCGTCTAATAGTTTTACCAATATTTTTTTCTGATTTTTGGAACTTTTTATCAAAATGCAACTTTTGAAACTCTTTTTTGTTCAAACCAAAATATATTTTTTAGAAATAAGGTTGTGCTTATTGTGATATTTTGAGACTAAGTGATTTTCCATGAATTTTTTTATTTCAAACCCTTTAATATTAGAATTTTGTCTGATTTTACAGGCCAATATTTTTACAGCTATTACAAAAATTAGAGCGCTGCAAGGACATTCTTGTCGGATTCCTCTAAAAATAAATATGGGTTCTGATATCGAACCATTATGTGTAACGGAGTATTTAACATCATTGTAGATAGTTTTAATCCATTTCAAAATTGATTTTTGAAAGCCAAATTTTTGTAATTCTGAGTGCATAAATTCCCATTCAAGTGTATCAAACGCTTTTGAGAAGTCTAAAAATAACAAGGCTCCTTCTATTTTGAATGATTCAGCATAGTCTATGATATCCTGAATTTGTCTTACATTATATCCAATATAGCGATTTGCAATATAACCATTTCGGTCAGCACTGATGATTTTTGGTAGAATATTTTTAATTCTTTGTGCAAGGGTATCTGCAATCAGTTTTGTGAATAAGGGAGATAATCCCCAGTTTTTGTGTTTCAGTTAGTTCCCCTTGTTCATAATATTTATTAAATGTGTATACTGCAAATTCTTTGAGCTCACCCCAAAAGGTTTGATAAAATTCAACACTGAGACCATCTGACCCTGATGAACTTTTTAATTTCATCTTATATAAGGCTTTTGTGCATTCTTTCATGCGTATTTCTCCCTCTAAAGTAGAACTTTCTTTTTTTGTCAGCTAATGTTCCTAGACACAGATAACAACGAGAAAACCTTGTATAAATGACCTAGATCAAAGAGTCTGAGCTATGTTTGCTGTTAATAAAACACAAGTTGAGTAAAATGTCATTTATTCAGAAATTAATTTAAAATGCAGCTTACATCTTAACAATTATAATAGTACTGCATAAATGACAATGACTTTAATAAGCAAAGGTGGGGTTGAAAAAGTGCCACACCCTAACATAATAAACATCATAAAAATGACAAAAAATAAAAGTGAGTTGAAAAAATTAACTCACCAACATATATATATACAAAGAATATAAACAATACAATGAATATTGTCCTGAATTGATGTTAAAAGAAAAATAAATGTCCTATATAATAACGCTTAAAAGGGAGGGAAATGGGAGGGTTTTCAGATAAAATTCAAAAACGATCTTTTCTCTCTCCCAAAACAAAGGCGAATGACCGCATGTCCGAGCACATGTAGAAATTTGATATTAATTACCGATCTCAAGAACTGACCAATCAGATAATGTTATTAGATGATCATGCATTGAACATGCAGTCCTTGACCTCATGTTGATATACTTAAACAAAGAAATGCCTTCTTACCCACATGGCATTAATAAAATCAATATTATCGGAAATTCCAGCCAAAAAGTCTTTTATTTACAATAAATGTTATTTTGTCAGCTAATGCTCTACAAAAATATTAACACAGATTATAAACAAAACAAAAAATAATATATACTAAATATAATGAAACTTGTAAATGAAAGGTAAAGCAAGCCATGTTGACCTCTATCAACCAAATAAATACCATTACATATATAGTAAATGACTGATGGCAAAAACTTAAATTTGCAGAGCAAACCATGTTGACCTCTACAAAAGTAAATAATTCTAACATGTATAAAACAGTCTTGTTAATCCTTACAAAAAATGAATCACAATAAGGTAAAGCAAGCCATGTTGACCTCTACCAAAGCACTTAGTAAGCGACTGTGATTATATTAAATCTAAGTGTGAAAATTATCAAGTCGAATATAATGTTGAAAAGCGTTTGACTTCCATCTACCCATGTTTTGGATCAAGGCTAAAGGCACACCTCTGGCAGCTGCAGATGTCGCAGCTCCAATTCTGAAACTGTGACCTTTATAAAAATTTGTGTCTAAACCTACGAAATTAAGCAAACTTTTTAATGAAGAATTGAAATAAAAACCTGAAACAGGTTTTCCACATTTAAATCGAAATAAAGGGCTAAGTGGACGATTATGTAACCTTAGGTATTCCTCAATAGCTTTAACAGGACATAGATAATTTTCAGGACGTCTAGCTATTGATAATGTCTTACTTTGCAGATTACTATGTTTGTAGAACTTCATAGTAATTGTCATATTGCTCACATGACCATTTACTCTTTCAAACTTTATATCTTCCCTTTGAATTACTCTATAGAATTCAGACTCAGCTTTAACTGCAATTTCTCCAATACGTAAGAAACAAAAATAAGCTGTAGACATCATAGCCTTTAACAAAACTTGATTATAAATGCCAACTATTACTTTTGGTAAAGCCTTAACTAATTTTACAAGAATATCACAGGTTATTGGCAGCCGTGTATCAACAGAATGTCTCAACTGTTTTGTACCTTTTATCATTTTTTTAATAAAAAATGTGTCTGTTGGATCCTGTAAGAACTTAATTTTATGTATAAAACTGATGGCTGATATGTATGACGCAATTGTAGATGGTTGCTAATTTTGAATAAACAAATGTGAAATAAAATGAGCAACCATGACATGAGTAGATGGAAGTACAATAACTCCTGGAAAAAATTTCTGACAAAAATTTGAATACACACTTAGCATTCTATTATATGATGACACAGTAGCATCAGATAATGATGCACTAACAAGCTTATCAGTCATAGATGCAAAAATTGAGGTGGAATGGCCACAGGAGTTGGACTTAACCAAGGAGCAATCTGATGAGCTTCCTGAAATGAAAAACGAGACAACAAGTCACAAATAACGTTTGTTTTTCCAGGAATATGTTTGGCTCTAAAATAGATATTGTACTTTAATGCAGCTATCACTAATCTTCGAATCAATTTCATAATATTCTTTTCCCGAGATGATATTTTATTTATAATTTCAGCAACAGCTGAATTATCTGTTAAAAACAGTATTTTATGATTTGCCAATAGAGGGCACCATATATCAATAGCTAACACAATCGGGAAAAGTTCTCTCACTGTAATGTGTAAATCGACTAACTCCGGTGGCCATTCACCTGAAAACCATTTGCTGCCAAAAACTGCAGCAAAACCACCATATGTACCTGCAGCATCAGAAAAAAGTTTTAAAAAATCTGATGAAACCCATTCTTTAAATAAAAAACAAGATTTACCATGATTGTAATTTTCAATAAAATTGTACCATAACTTCAGATTTAATCTTGCATCAGAATTAAGATTGATTCTATAATGAGGAGATGTATGGCATATAGTCAGGTCAAAAAGCCTACGTAAAAAGGCTATTCCAGGTATGATAACTCCGCATGCAAAATTTAAAAGACCCAATAAGGATTGCAATTCTCTAAGTGAGATACTGCGTTTACGTTTGTATTTACTCAATAATTGCAAATTTTTTTTCAATTTTTTCCATAGGTAAACGAGCTACCATCTGAGTAGAATCAATTTCAATACCGTAGATACTAATGCAAGTAGTAGGGAGTTGTGTTTTGTCTGATTTGATGGGTACCCCCAATTTATCGGCAAGACAAAGAAAAGTTTGTAATGCACTATAGCATTCATTTGAGCCAGCTTTTCCGACAAAGAAAAATCATCTAACAGGTGTGATACCCCATATATTTGAAATTTAGCATTTAAAATCCAGTGGAGGGCTGTAGAAAAAGACTCAAACAGCTGACACGAGGACGAAGCCCCCATGGGGAGGGAGACATCATAATAAAATTGTTTGTCCCAATGAAAACCTAATAGATGATGATCTTTTTTATCAATTGGAATTAAGCGAAATGCATGCTCAATATCTGTTTTGGACATTAGACAATTTGATCCATAAGATTGGACTAAATCTATAACTGTTTCAATGTTTTGGTATTGTACAGCCGAAAATTCTGGGGAAATACCAGAGTTTACAGAGTCACCCTTAGGATACGACAAATCATGTATTAATCGATAAGAATTGGGTTCCTTTTTTGGAACTAAACCCAAAGGGGAGCATACAAAGAGAGGGAAAGGGGGCTTTGTAAAAGGACCCTTAACTTTACCTGCTTCAATCTCTTCATTCAGTTTTGATTGCACAACATGATAATTTTCCCTTGCACTTTTATGATTTGGAGGAAAAATCTCTTTATTTAGGGATGTAGAAAAACAAGAATTAATTGAAAATCCAAAAGAAAAACCATGAATCAATTTATCTTTCAACTGTGTTTCATAACCTGCTAAAAAGTGTTTTAAATTTTCAACCTTTATTGGTGTTGGAATTTTGACAAAGTTTGCTTGTTTTCCTTTTTGCTCTGGACATGTAAGGGTACAGTGTTTCTTGCTGCAGTGTACACATTGGTGTTTAAGTTTACAAAACTTTGATGTGCATTCCCCTGATTTACAGAAGGCCCAGCAATAGCCATTTGGGAATTGATGCTGATGCTGGGCCCTCCTATGAAAAGAATTTGGGCCTGAGTTTGAGGTTTTGGCAAATGATTTCTTATTTTGACCTGAAAATTCAGATTGTCTGTCATATAAAGCTGCAGATCTCCAAAGTTCATCATTTATTTCATCCCATCGTAACCCTAAAATTTTCCTTATCTTCCTAAATTTCTCGTCATATAATTTAGCGGCTTGGAAACCCAAGAACTTGCATAATGACCGTACATTAAAACCATATTTTATCAATGCTTTAGCAGACCTCAAATTCTTTTCAAGATATATAGACATAAATATATCAAAAGCATTTGTCCATTGGTGAAAGGACAAAAGCTCTTTGTTAGGTTTCCTATTTGAAATCGTAATATTTAAATTTTCAAATAATGTTGATTCATTACATGTATCATCAATATTAGAAGGTAACAATAGAGCAAAATTTACATAACTAACATTTCACATGCATATGGATTTTCTTCATTTGAGTTTAGCAGCTCACCATCAGAAGGAGTGTTGATATTAGGATCTGAGGAAACTGGTGGTTGAAAGACAGCTAACATTGGTCCCTGGGAGTCAGTAGTTGACGAATTTTCTGGTTGTATAGATGATGACGACAATATACCAGTTAAGTCATTAATTGGAACTGCTGTATTGTCTTTGACAAGTTGAACGCCAGAACTTTGAAACTTCAGGAACAAAGCATCAGCAATGTCATTTGCGGTTGGAACAGACGACTGTTTAGCATTTGTTTCACGAACTGACAGATTTTCAGGAGCTGTTTGTCTGGCCTTGCGTCTCCGCACTGGTGGCCTGTATATTGGTGGTAACTCCTGACTTTGTTCCTCCACTAAATCGTGAACATCCTCTACCAGGTTTTGTGGAGCAGCCTTTCTTCTTGTTCTGCTTTTCTGCTTTGGCATTTTGCTATAAATACATAAAACAAAAAATAAAAATAGAAATCCTGTATTATCACAGAATTTAAAGAATGATACTATATAAGTAAAATTTTTAAACCAAAATGCTTGTCCGGCAAATTAAACATAGTTGATATGATGATATATCAAGCAAAATATACTCATGTTTAAAATTAAGTTTGATTATGATATGCTAATTAATACTCCAACCAATATGTATAAAGTACTTCAATTGTACCAAAATCGATCCCTATTGTGACACAACCATTATAGGGAAAGACGTGATTTATTCTCTGATTAAATAAACTAATAATACACTAATATAATAGTATATAAACCATGATTATGAATAAATAATCAATAAGTAAATATAAACAGAGACATTTTATATTATATAACTCTGATATAAATGATGTAACCAACCATAATAAAATATAAATAAGACATTTTTCATGTCACCAGTGTCACAACCATGTGCATATAAGCACAACCACTCAGAGATATTTTAAATTATAAAATCGTTAAGGTGATGGAGTAATAATATGCAAATAATTCATAGATAACTAAATAATTGTATTGTATGCTTCTTCTTCTTCGTATGTCCTTCCAATTAGGAACAATAAGTAATAACAATCATACACGGTAGTTTGCAACGCAAGTTTGCTCGACATTACATGTACGTGAAAGGCTACCAACAGCAGCACGAACACTTCTAGCGTATATTTCCATACCTTCATCATTAAGATGAACTTTATCTTTTAATAATAAATCTGGGGTGTTCTTCCACCACCCCCTATGATGCCAGAAAGTCGCATTATCTCTTTGTTTTAGTAAATGACTAAGTTCTTTGTTTACAATGTAAACCTTGTTGTTATAATAGGTTTCCGGTCTTTCGGAATACCTCGGGAGAAGTTGACCAATAACCACGTGGTTAACATGATAGCAATTAATTATGTAATCGGCAAAAACGCTGATATCTCTTGCTAATTTTACGGGCTCATTTTCAGACGATAAATCGTTGCCTTCAACCTGAAGAAAAACCGAATGTGGCGTATATTCTTCAATTATATGCATATAATGTTGCTTTTGAACACATTTATTACCGGGGCGAAGAGTCCCTCCCCCAAACCAAAATATTCCACCTGGATATCGGTTCCGTCTAAACCTAAATTTAACCAACCTCGATCACAGTTTTCATGAGTAAATGTTTCTAAATGACGAATCAAAGAATTACCAAAAATTAAGGCACGCCGGACCATGGTTCAAAAGCAACTAATCTATTATAAAAATTAATAAATTAAAAATTAAGCTATCAAAAATATATTGAATAATAGTTAAGGTTCGCTTTTACCTTATAATCTGTGGATTCTTCGATGACTGCCTTTCTTCAGTATTTTTGTCAGCTTTTCAGATAAAATTCAAAAACGATCTTTTCTCTCTCCCAAAACAAAGGCGAATGACCGCATGTCCGAGCACATGTAGAAATTTGATATTAATTACCGATCTCAAGAACTGACCAATCAGATAATGTAATTAGATGATCATGCATTGAACATGCAGTCCTTCACCTCATGTTGATATACTTAAACAAAGAACCCAGACAACATTGGTACGTTGGCACAATGTTGGCCCAACGTACCTACATGCATTGGCCCAACGTTGTTTTTAAACGTTGGCCCAATGTATAAGTGCAAAGTGGCCCTACGTTGGCCCAACGTGACGGCTAAACGTTGGCACAACGTTGTAAGGTTTTATATAATACATTGGCCCAACGTTGGTTCAATGATGGAATAACACTTGCTGATGTTGAACAAACGTTGGGCCAACGTAGTTATAAAAACTGTTAACAAACTTTTCCCTTAGAGTGCAATAATTCTTGGTTATTACATCAGTTCAAAATGGCGAAAGTATTACTTTTTTAAAATGTTGCACTTATTGCGTTTTACAGATCCACTATACCATGTTGTGTCTGACATACTACCCGAAAATTTTGTATTTTGCCACTTCTCTCCATCTTCCTGAACATGTATGAAATATTTGCCAATGAACGTTTCAGTAACCAACAACCAATCAATCTCTCTCCAGGAATTGTACTTCTGAATTTTACCCATATTTGAATGATTCAATCAACATATCCATGTTACCTATTTTTAGCTCACCTGACCAAAAGGGCCTAGTGAGCTTTTCTCATCACTTGGCGTCCGTCGTCCGTCGTCGTCCGTCGTCGTCGTCGTCCGTCGTCGTTAACTTTTACAAAAATCTTCTCCTCTGAAACTACTTGGCCAAATTAAACCAAACTTAGCCACAATCATCATTGGGGTATCTAGTTTAAAAAATGTGTCCGGTGACCCGACCAACCAAACAAGATGGCCGCCATGGCTAAAAATAGAACATAGGGGTAAAATGTAGATTTTGGCTTATATCTCTGAAACCAAAGCATTTAGAGCAAATCTGACATGGGTAAAATTGTTAATCAGGTCAAGATCTATCTGCCCTGAAATTTTCAGATGAATCAGACAACCCGTTGTTGGGTTGCTGTCCTTGAATTGGTTATTTTAAGGAAATTTTGCCGTTTTTGGTTATTATCTTGCATATTATTATAGATAGAGATAAACTGTAAACAGCAATAATGTCCAGCAAAGTAAGATCTACAAATAAGTCAATATGACCAAAATGGTCAGTTGACCCCTTAAGGAGTTATTGCCCTTTATAGTCAATTTTTAACCATTTTTCGTAAATTTTTGTAATCTTTTACAAAAATCTTCTCCTCTGAAACTACTAAGACAAATTTAACCAAACTAGTCCACAATCATCATTAGGGTATCTTGTTTAAAAAATGTGTCCAATGACCCCGCCAACCAACCAAGATGGCCACCATGATCTATCTGCCCTGAAATTTTCAGACCAATCAGGCAACACGTTATTGGGTTGCTGCCCCTGAATTGGAAATTTTAAGAAAATTTTGCAGCTTTTGGTTATTATCTTGAATATTATTATAGATAGAGATAAACTGTAAACAGCTATAATGTACAGCAAAGTAAGATCTACAAATAAGTCAACATGACCAAAATTGTCAATTGACCCTTTAAGGAGTTATTGCCCTTTATAGTCAATTTTTTACAATTTTCATAAATTTTGTAAGTTTTTGTAAATTTTTACAAAATATTTTCCACTGTAACTACTGGGCCAAGTTCATTATAGATAGAGATAATTGTAAGCAGCAAGAATGTTCAGTAAAGTTAGATCTACAAACACATAACCATCACCAAAACACAATTTTGTCATGAATCCATCTGTGTCCTTTGCTTAATATGCACATAGACCAAGGTGAGCGACACAGGCTCTTTAGAGCCTCTAGTTCTTAAATAATGTAAATACAAAGGTATGATTAAACATAATTTATTATTAGCTAGACAACCAGCAAAGTTTGAAAATAAACTTGTTTGTATCTATATGTTGCTAAATCAGATCTAGAATGATAATTCATTTAATATCCCATTTGTATAATATCATTACAGTTTATGTTGCAATATCCAAGCTCTGTATGCAGGCATTGATAATTCATTTTAAACAGTAATTTTTCTAGTTTTGTATTCCAACATGGTTTTTATTCACAAGAGTATTCCTTTTGTTTTCTGCTACACTTTGTTTTGTCACTATTTCTGGCTCCGTCTTATGTTAAATCTCTTCATAAAAGTTATTTCACTGCCCCTGTAATAAAGTAATGAATAAATGAGTACTACTCAATGTATGTATATTTAGAATATATTAAATTCTCCTAAAAAAATAAACAAAGAAGAAAAAAAAAATACATTGTTTCCGGTGTTCTGGCATATTACAATAGTTAGAAATAAATGGGGAATGTGTCTATGGGACACAGATGATGCCCCCCGCTTGCATATAATGTTATAAAGGGATATAACTAAAGAACTGTAAAAGTGACAATACCCAGATTTGTACTTGATCTGAGTTTTGTGGTAATAAGCATTGTGTATACGTTTCATAAAATTTGGTTGAGGCAAACTAAAGTAAGAGAACGGAAACGAAAAATTCTGCAATTTTTCCATTTGTAGAGGGGCATAACTCTAGAACAGCAAAAATGACGCCACCAAAATTCGAACTTATCTGTGTTTAGTGGTAATTAGCATTGTGTATAAGTTTCATACATGTGGTTGAGGCAAACTAAAGTTAAAGAACGGAAACGAAAAATTCAGCAATTTGTCCATTTATAAAGGGGCATAACTCTAGAACGATAAAAGTGACGCCACCACAATTCAAACTTGATATTTTGGCTCTCAATAATGACGACTTAAGTATGTATACTAAAGAAATTTATCCTGTTGAACTTACTTTAAATAAAGCTAATACTAACAATGACCACTGCCCTTTCCTCGATCGTGATATCTATATCATTAACGGAAAGCTTAATACTAAAATATATGATAAAAGAGATGATTTTTCATTTCCTATTGTAAATTATCCATTTTTAGATGGTGACGTTCCCTTATCACCATCTTACGGTGTTTATATATCTCAACTTGTTCGATTTGCTCGTGTATGTAACAATGTTTTAGATTTTAACGAGAGAAATTTATGTATTACTGAAAAATTATTACACCAGGGTTTTCGATATCACAAACTAGTCAAAACATTTACTAAATTTTATCATCGGTATAAGGACATCATTCGTAAATATAGCTCAACATGCAGACTTCCTTTACGTTCAGGTATTTCACATCCAATTTTTTATGGAAATATTCTTTATAAAGCACAAAAATGTCAGTATTCACCTCTGAAGCTAACAAAACCTTTAAATAGACTTATTAAGAAGGGATAGAATCATGTGCAAAACAGTGTAGCCGAGACCATTGATTGGCGCGCTAAAATATCCCATTGACTGGGCCAGATTAGGTGAACGTTCGTCTGTAACGCCCACAACTCACGACGTACTTATTATAAACATTTAAACTGTGGGGTTGCCAAAGGGTCTCAGTATATATACGAACTACAGTGCACAGTATATTATATACATATTTTATTTGCGATCATAAAATGTACGAAGTCGTCCATTACTATGTAAATTGGTTCAATTAAAAAAAAAGCTGAATATGTTTCTGTTGCCAAGGGTTTTTCACAAATATAGTAGTTAGCAGAAAAGATCACCAAACTATACATTTTACCTATTCAAAAACG